TCGGATTCTCGGATTCTCGAGTTTTCGGATTCTCGGGTTCTTAGCAGTTCGCAAGCGCGTGGGCAGAACTGAGCGGGCGCGCTTGAGCGGGCGCGCTTACTGCTCAGCGGGCGCACTTGAGCCTGTGTGCTTGACTTTGGCAGGCATGCGCAACACGAGCTGACACGCTTGAGCTGGCGCACGTACTATTCAGGCTTCAGAGCTTGGATTCTCGGATTCTCTTTTCAGAGAGTTGTCAAAGTATGGCCTTGCAAATATTGAAAGAGGCGCTTGCCGCTCAAGGTGCCGCCCTGTTGTTGGGAATACCAAAAAAAGGCCCCCCAATGTCGACAATCCCCCACCCCCCCGTTTCCCTTGTTGCGGGGCAGCAAGGGAAACTCTGACAACCTGAAACCCCAATGCTCGGGACAGAGAGCTGGGGTTTATGCCAGCTAGAGCCCCAAGGGCCCCAAGCAATAGGTAGATGGCACACAAAACGGAGCATGGGTCTGAGTGAACCGTCAGGATACACCAATCTGATCGGGAATCACATGAAATGTGTACGCGGCTCAACATTCGGGACCCGGAATCTGGTTGTGATTTCCGACGAGGATTTCTCTCTCTCGCTCTCCCTCGGGCAAGTCTGAGCGAAGCGCGCGCACCGAGGTGAAGTTCCCTCCAAACCTGAAGCTGCATCTGAGCGCGACTGCTGAGTAGGGAAGCTGCAAGTCTCCAATCAGGGTCTGTCTCCAAATAGAGGACCTTTTTGTTGGACGATGTAAAGGGCAACCAACAGGAAACCAACTGCCTGGAGGCGTCCCCAATTTTCAGACTCCCTCGCAACTAGGAGCCCTCAGCCTGGCGCAAACAAGTGCCACCCAAGGCCCGTGCCGGAAGTTGAAGACCTCGGCAGGATCCGTGGAGGCGGTCAAACCAGCCACAGCCCCTGAGAGACTTTTCCACCCTTTCCACCCAACCAGCCATGTCGAAGAATTTCTATTCCAAAGAAAAACCATTTGATCAACTTTCCGAAGCTTGTTCTTATCTCAGTTTGGTGCAGAGCAAGTAGCACAGGTGCAACCTTTTTGGGGGGGGTGAACCCTGTTTCCGGGGCTGATTTCAAGATCCAACGAGAAGCCGAAGCCCCGCTCCGCCGTGAGAACCAAACTGTTCCATCTGTCCGTTGCACATTTGTCCAGGTTGTGATTGCTTAAGCAAGCAGGAGAACCAAGTACATTCTCACGTTGGCCTCGTGTTGACCACGTCTCCCCTTCTCGCACGCCCCAATTCGACGGCAAATCTTTGTGGCTTGCGTATCTGGGCAAGATCCAGTTCATCGTGAGGATCATAGTCCCCAAATAGGCAGCTTGATTTAGCAAGCCTATCTGGGTCATGGTCCCCAGGAGCCAGTTTTGGACTATTCCTCTCTGAGGCTGCGGCCCTGGAAAAGGCCACGGGCCGGAACACAATGGTCAGCAGCTTGCCCCTGACACCCAAACTGGCTGGGAGAACTCCGGTGGGATTCATGCGAATGACCAACCAAGTATCACTTTGAAGAATCATGGTCCTACAAACCACCCGGTCAGGCCGATTAGGGGATATCAATCTAAGAGGACCTAGCCATCCCTCAAACCAAAAAGAGCCCTAAGATGGAACCTGGTTTATGTATTTTGCACGGTTTCAACACACGCATCGACATTTGACATGCATATGTTATAAACCTACATCGATTCATCAAGAATACCTCTGGGGTGGGGGAGGGCCCTTTGGTGGACTGGGGGGGGCATGTCCACACGCGACTTTTGAGGGTGCTCCCCGTTAAAGTTCAAAACCTCATGAGTTTCTTGTTTCTTTCTATCACAATGTCAAAGCAGGTCTAACTTCTTGTCTTCTTCCCAGCAATCATGGAAGCGGACCGGATGCCTTTTCATCAGGACATATCAGGATTGTCGTCTTCCAAAAGCCCTGAGTCACAATCATTCTCAGTTTTCATCAAAGCAGTCTACCCAAGACGCATGGTAAGAATCAAAAGGGCAGCTTTTGCCGCACCTGTTTATGGTTGGGGCCATCTCCTACTAACCTTCTACCCAACTTTTGATTGTCAGCTTGTTACGCAGGACCTGCGCAACCCTGCCGTATCTGTTTGCCCCTTGAACGGGCTTCTCCAGGACCACAGGAGTGTCTATGGGTGGCAAAGCAGGGGTCTCAAACATTCGCCATTGTCGATCGCTTTTTGGTGTCCTTTAGGGGGTAACCAACATTCTTAATGAGGGCTATCGAATCTAGTACCCAGTATAACCCCTGACTCCAGCTGGCCCCATGATTTTCCCATCGTCAAAGTCACGCCTTACAGCAGGGCATATGAAAAAGAGAAGCAACCCCAGTCTCTCACTTTGATCACCCGAGATACTAGAAGAAGTCAACATGGTCTAGCTCAAGGAAAGTCCCACCCACTAGTTTCCCCCTCATCCATAACCTCGAGCAATCCCTGGCAGAACAAAAACCAAAACCGGCGACTTCCAGTGACGAACCCCGCAGCGTCCTGCGCCGCGGCGCTTCGTCGTCGTCCTCCTCCTTCACCAAATCCTGCTGCATCACCTGAAGGCCCGTTGGCAGGTCATAGGGTTTCGCACATCCCAGTGGGAGGGGGATCATTTTCGAACACCGATTTCGGCTCATTTTTGAACACATGCACTGGGATCATCCCAGTTGGTGCGGGAATTTGTCCCCACAACAGCTCCTCTTTGTGGAGTCAAAAATAAATTCCCCAAAACGCTCCGTGTGGGTAATATGTACCTTTTCAGAATTTGACCCAGTTGGAGGGCAAATGCGCGTAAATATGCCATGCGTGGAGTGTTTGAGATCTGGCCCCTGGGAAAAGAAACACACGGACCCAAAACCAACTTTCGACAGTAACAATACTTTAGTCATTGGTTGGAGGGTTGGCACCCTATAAGCGGTTCAGTCATTTTGTAGTTTGGAGCAGACCCTGCAGGTAGCGGTTTGGTCAAGTTTGGTCCTTGTTTTGCGGTTTGGAGCAACAGTTTCAAGGGAAACAACGGCAAATCAACCATTAACCATCTGGAAAGGTCCTGTCTTGAGACACACATGTGTAACTTCCATCTTCGCCAACCATGTTGAGCAAAAGACACCTCAGGGAGTCAGGCGGAACACTTTTTAGCCGCACAAGCCGCACCTTCTTTTGGTTGCATCCACCCGGGTAAGCATCGGGGAGACTCTTGTGCACTACGACAGGACGACCACCATGAATTGAACTTGCTTTTTGGGCACCCGTATTAAGGGGAAACACCGCAATGTGGCTATGACTTGTATCTTTTGAGTCAGGAGCATTCCAAAGCAACAACTACAGGTTGGTGGACCCAATAACAAGCATGTATTTCTGATGTCCACCAAAGCGTCCCCAATCAAAACCATACCTCAAACACTCTATGTGTGGCATACGAATGGGTCAAATGAATGCAAACGCTGGCATATAGAACCACACGGCAAATGTTGGCATTTAATGTGAAACCAGAAGAACAAGCCACCGATTTTGGGAGGTCTACATCCTTATAATTTCACAAACCCCAGTGCTGAGTGCCGCGCTAAGCAGGGCCAGGACTTCCCTGGCAACGAGGCGAGGCTGAGGGAAACCTCACAAGAGGCCCTGAAAATGGGTTCCTTTGGCTGCCCTTTACTTGGCTGCTCAAAACAAAGGGTTCAACCCTCATCCAGAATGAGGATGAAGGATTGGCTTTGAACAGCTCAGCTTTAGCCAAAATTTGAGACGGATTCGCTTTGAAACCTCCTGGCGTTGCCTCGATCTCAAGTCACGGGGTGGGAGGGCTGATGCCTTTACAATTTCAACGCTTGGTTCTGAAGTTAGGCGGGGTTGGAACAGCCAACAAGATATTTGAAGGTCTACCTCACCCATTCTCCAGGGAAAAATGTACAGGTGGCTCCTCTTTTCTCAGCAACCGGACTTGTGACTCGCCCCACGAGTCGCATAAAACATCCAGCTCGAGTACCTCACTATGTGTCAAGAGGGACCCCTCCCCAAATTGGTGGGTTTCCCTTTGGTTTCCCTTTAAGCCACCCAAATGGCACCCTCAAAACATGCACCCCCCAATTTGTTATCCTTGAAATAGGGATCGGCAAAGAATTGATGAAACCGTTTGTTTGCCATTTATGCCTCTCCCAAAAAGTATCAAGTCCAGCAACTCAAGGAGTACTCCTTCAGCCTTGGGCCCGGTTCAGTGTCATTTGGGGCCGCCGGTATTTTGGCAAACCCCAAAGAGGCGGCTCAATTTTGTCAGCTACCCTGGTTTGGCTGAGTTGTTTTCATTTGGTTTGACATCACTTCCACGCGTCAGAGGCTTGTCTCCAAAGGACTCGAGCAAGACAGCTGCATCCTGTTTACTTGTGCAGCTTGGGCTTAGAAAGGCACTATCTAGCATGGTTCTTGGGGTTGAATCCCTCCGTTCAACCATCCTTCTTTGCACACACCATTCGTTTCTGGGATGTCCGGACAGAATTCGCGGTATCCTTACTTAGCATCGTGTAAAACACAAATATCAAAAAGAAGCCCGGCCATTTCTTAAATTACACTTCCTGTTTTCGGAAACACCTCCCATGGCTCGAGTGACCAACTAGGTTAAGGGAACCACTGCCCTCATCATCCCCGCCTCCGCCATCCCAGGACAGCAAGCTTTGCCTTGTTCGCGCGTGTCGTGTCGTTGTGTGTGTGTGTGTGTCTCTGTGTGTGTGTGTGTCTCTGTGTGTGTGTCTGTGTGTGTGTGTGCGTGTCTGTCTGCGTGTCTGTGTGTCTGTCTGTGTCTCTGTCTCTGCCTCTGTCTCTGCTGTGTCTGTATCTGTGTGTGTGTGTGTCTGTGTCTGTCTGTGTCTGTCTGTGTCTGTCTGTGTCTGTCTGTGTCTGTCCGTGTGTCTGTGTCTGTGTCTGCGTGCGTGTCTGTCTGTGCGTGTCTGACTGTCTGTGTCTGGCTGTCTGTGTCTGTCTGTGTCTGTCTGTGTCTGTCTGTGTCTGTCTGTGTCTGTCTGTGTCTGTCTGTGTCTGTCTGTGTCTGTCTGTGTCTGTCTGTGTCTGTCTGTGTGTCTGTCCGTGTGTCTGTCCGTGTCTGTGTCTGTGTCTGTGTGCGTGTCTGTGTGCGTGTCTGTCTCTGTCTCTGTCTCTGTCTCTGTCTCTGTCTCTGTCTCTGTCTCTGTCTCTGTCTCTGTCTCTGTCTCTGTCTGTCTCTGTCTGTGTCTGTGTCTGTGTGTCGTCTCTGTCTCTGTCTCTGTCTCTGTCTCTGTCTCTGTCTCTGTCTCTGTCTCTGTCTCTGTCTCTGTCTCTGTCTGTCTGTCTGTCTGTCTGTCTGTCTGTCTGTCTGTCTGTCTGTCTGTCTGTCTGTCTGTCTGTCTGTCTGTCTGTCTGTCTGTCTGTCTGTCTGTCTGTCTGTCTGTCTGTCTGTCTGTCTGTCTGTCTGTCTGTCTGTCTGTCTGTCTGTCTGTCTGTCTGTCTGTCTGTCTGTCTGTCTGTCTGTCTGTCTGTCTGTCTGTCTGTCTGTCTGTCTGTCTGTCTGTCTGTCTGTCTGTCTGTCTGTCTGTCTGTCTGTCTGTCTGTCTGTCTGTCTGTCTGTCTGTCTGTCTGTCTGTCTGTCTGTCTGTCTGTCTGTCTGTCTGTCTGTCTGTCTGTCTGTCTGTCTGTCTGTCTGTCTGTCTGTCTGTCTGTCTGTCTGTCTGTCTGTCTGTCTGTCTGTCTGTCTGTCTGTCTGTCTGTCTGTCTGTCTGTCTGTCTGTCTGTCTGTCTGTTTGTCTGTGTCTCTGTCTGTCTGTCTGTCTGCCTCTGTGTGTGTGTGTGCTCTGTCTCTGTCTCTATCTCTGTCTCTATCTTTGTCTCTGTCTCTGTCTCTGTCTCTGCCTCTGCCTCAGTCTGTGTTTGCGTCTGTGTCTGCGTCTGTGTGTCTGCGTCTGTGTGTCTGTGTCTGTGTGTCTATGTCTGTGTGTCTGTCTGTCTGTCTGTGTCTCCGTCTCCGTCTCCGTCTCTGTCTCTGTCTCTGCCTCTGTCTCTGTCTGTGACTGTGTCTGTGTCTCTGTGTGTGTGTGTCTGTCTGTCTGTGTCTGTGTGTCTGTCTGTGTGTCCGTGTCTGTGTGTCTGTCTGTCTGTCCGTGTCTGTGTCTCTGCCTCTGCCTCTGTCTGTGTCTGTGTCTGTGTCTGTGGCTGCGTCTGTGTGTCTGCGTCTGTGTGTCTGTGTCTGTGTGTCTGTGTCTGTGTGTCTGTCTGTCTGTCTCTGTCTCTGTCTCTGTCTCTGTCTCTGTCTCTGTCTCTGTCTCTGTCTCTGCTTCTGCTTCTGTCTCTGTCTGTGTCTGTGTCTGTGTCTCTGCGTCTGTGCGTCTGTGTCTGTGTATCTGTGTAGCTGTGTCACAAGGGGTACCTTTGGCTTACCGCAAAGGAACGACAAAGGTTCTCATTCCCCAGATCGGGTCTGTTCAAGCCCCTTCAACCACAGAACAATGTCAACAATATAGGTTTGTCATCCGGTTTCTAAACTACTTCCCTTGGGCGGAGATCATGCGCATAATCAAGACATAGGACATTTGGGCAGCGGCCCCCTCAGCAAATGTTCCAAGCACACTTAGGGGCCTTTTTGTGAGCTGCGACAAGTTTCCTTGTAAAAAGAAAAAAGTACACAGCAGGGCTGCAGTGTGCCACACGTCCCTCCAACTGTTGCAGACTTTGTGATGATCTGCAGGGAGGTCTCGCTTTTTCTGGGGAGACAGAGCTCAAATTCAAACAAACAGTACATCAGGTATATATCAACCACGGCATCCGCGTAAAACACGCAGACATCGCTTTGCTCAGGAGAACTACTTATTCTGGTCAATGTATCTTAAGCAACTCTATTGACTCTTTCTGACTCGTAATTGAACACCTTGTCGTTCATGGTTATACGCATAGATCAAAACACTTGACATGGTCGTCCCCCTTTTGCTAAAAACATGGCCAGGTTTCTTGGGCGTTTAACCTGCTGTCAAGGTCTTCCGGCTGAGGTCCCGCCCAAAGTTGCAGAGTGTATGCGTGTGCATGTGTGCGTCCAAGGATGGGTGACCCACACTTAGTAGTATTCATGTTGGTCCTAAGCACCAGTCAAAGGTTCCGGATGATCCGGATGTCGTGTGGGGCACTTGCACACACTTTGACAGGCACAACATGCCAACCCAAGAGGTCAGCCAAGGAGTCGTACTTGCAAAGGGTTGACTGGAGAGGAGCTCTGTGTTTTTCCAAACATACGGGAGCCAATGGAAAACCATGAAAACCAATACAACCTACCAGGTCAAACCTGGGAAAAGCTGTTAGCGTCGCCCTCAGCCCAACCGCTGGACACCCCTCTCAGCCTCAGATAGCGCTGGAAAAACATTCAAGAACCAAAATCAAAACAAATGAATCCATCTATATACCTACTAAAGGACGCTGCCCCCACCTTGGCCCAATCGCCACTGCACCAGGTCCCTCCCTTCCCAGCTGCGAGTACGTCCGGGTGGCGCAGGATCCTTGTGCGCCTCTGTCGCTGAGCCGGGCTCCTGAACGCGAGGGAAGACTCGGCGAGGGAAGACTCGGCGGCGTGGGGGGCCGTGTGAGGGTCGGTTTGCCTGTGAGACAAAATGCGCCTGTCTTTTCTTGAGGGCACCCTCTTCTTGTGTTTTTTTAAAGGGAAACCGAAAGGAGGACCCCCATTTGTCCACTAAAAAGACACACCCCCAAATGCTTAAACAACACCGCCTTTCGTTCAACACCTTGGGCAGCAGGTCAACATGGTGCATTTGCCCATGGAAACCAGGCGACTTTTGCAACCTCCAGTCCCAGGGTGCCACTGGCAACCACATTGAACCAATGGCTTCTGTCCGAGGGATCTCCCACATATTTGATTGCTCTGTTCATTTCCCTTTTGAACCAAGGTGAAAAAGGCGCCGGGCCTCAAAACAAACAAACAAACAAACAAACAAACAAACGCGCATACACACACAGACACACCATGTGCCCCGTCCAGGGTCAGAAGCACATCCACCGCGATTTCCACCTCGGAGACCTGCCGAAACTGCAGCTTCGGCGAGTGACAGCTAGCAAACAAAAAGACCTCTTTGTTTCCTTTTGGGACGGGGAGGGGTCCGATTTTGACAGACACCAGATGTCCTAAGGGTTGCTGCGGTGTGGAAATTGGGCGGCTTTCTGGCACAGGGGTCACCCTGCACCACCCGAAAACTTGGCCACTACAAACTTCTGCGAAGCCCCGGGGGGGGGGGGGGGCGGGGGGTACTGCGAAATATCAAGGGCGTAGTGGAGTGCTAAGCTGTGTAAAGGAATTATTTACACGAACCCTAAGAGGGTTCTGCACAGGTTCTGCGGAAGGGGGGAGGGTGCAGCCACCCAATGTCCATGTCACTGGGGATCACATGGATATATCTTGTGGCTCTGATCTTCATCTAGTTTGGCCAGATTTCTTCTTGGAGCTTCCAACTGAGTTAGATATCCCTAGTGGTGGTCCTTGGCCTTTTTGCATGCTTGGGTTCCTCTTTGTTTGGGCATTCTCCAAAATGGGGGGTCTCCCTTGCATCGTGTTTCCAGGGCAAATTCAGGAAGCGAACCAACTATTCATGGAAAATACGGGAGGTAACGCGAAGGAGAGTAAAAGACGTCAGTCTGCAGAACTTCGTAGAATCCAATTATTCAGTGGTCAGAGATCTCCACTCTTTCTCATGGCTGGCCAATCTTGCTCCTGGGTGGCCAAGTACTTTCGTAGTCCATGGAATGATCTTGAGGACAAGCGAACAGCTTGGAACTGTGCAACACCTCCTATTGAAGTCTGCTTACACAAAAAACGGACGATTCCAAAAAAGCAGCAGAGAGCCTCGCATCAGCTTGTTGAGTGGACTGTCTGCAATGGCGCTTTCCGCTTGGAAATGTGATAACAGTTATCGGCTAATTAGCAACATTTGGGCAAGCTCAAAATGCCACACAGAAACACAAACATAGACACGGACACAGACACAGACACGGACACACACAGACACAGACACGGACACACACACACACACACACACACACACACACACACACACACACACACACACACACACACACACACACACACACACACACACACACACACACACACACACACACACACACACACACACACACTTACTAGCTGGCGTAGGGGATCCTCTTGTCAAGTAGGTTGATCTTGGATCTTCAAGAAGGAAGACCGTCTATTCACGTTGATCACCAATGTCCCTTCGCCCTGAGCGCCCGGCCCAAAGGACTCGCCGCACCTGGGCGTTCGATCACGTTGCCCTCTTCAGGCGTGTTGCGGGGAAACCAAAGGGGTCGCCCCACCTCAACACTTGCCCATGTTGCTTGCTATCGCAACCTAAATTGTAAAGTTGACATTCTGCTCGGGGAAAGCTTCATAGTGCCACAGACATGATCATACGGTGGTCAACTGAATCATCATGTGTGTGCGCATTTTTGGTTAGCCTCTTCATCACTGACCAAAACGGCGGCGACAGGCGACTCCCGGCCTCCGCGTAATTGTCGTCATCGAAGGCGGAGACTGGCCACGTGTCCTCGTCGGATGCGAGCCAGCGATAGAAACCGATTCAGATAGATACAGGCTGGTAAGGGATATGCAGATAGTCCCAACCCCCCCCCCCAAAAAAAAGAAAGAGAAAAAGTTGCGGATATCCGGGCGTTCGATTCATTGCCATTGGGTTTTGGGTCGAGCATGTTAGTACCAGGCTTTGAGAATCAGCTCATGTGTTTCCCCCAAGCAGCCTTTGGGCAAAGCCTCGGGGAGGACAAAGAAAGAGCAGGAAAGGAATATCTGGGATCATCCCCTTTTGAAAACAGGCCACTCTCCCGGGGGCGATGCTTATGAAACTCCGCCAGGGAGGGTTGGCCAATGCTAGTGTACCCATTCTTGGAAATTCCAAGCGCCCTCTATAATTAACCCAAAGGAATCTCCACACTCCCAGGACATGAAATATTTTGTCAAGTGACCTCTAGATCTGGAAGGAGCTTTTTTCGGGGCCATTTCTCAGAAATCCATTGAAAGAAGAGGGAGTTCGTAAACACCGAAAAGAGAAACGGCAAACAACACAAGAACAGGTTGACCCAAATCACCTGTGGAACATTGATAGACCATTTTGGAGCCTAGTGGTTTAGGAACGGCCAGCTTGAGCAAGCAGCCCAGGAAAACCAGCTAATCAGATGGTCAGATCAGACAAAATCAATTCCTTCAAATCGCGCTTCGGTAAAAATCGGAGGACCCCAAACATGGTGGTGTTTGGTTTCCCTTGAAGCCCAGCTCTAAAGGTCGCCAGAACAACACCCGCTCAAAGTCACAATGAGGAAACCCCCGAAACTTCGCCCGCAAGAAACAAAAAGCTGGGGACACGGAAGAATCGTATGTTGTTTGAAGGACACCCCAGTTTTTGGGAAATCAAAAAAACAAAAAAGAAACGGTTTTCTCCCCCCGTAGGGCGAGCTTTTGAAGCAATCCCCGGCAGCATCCACTCGCCTGCTGGAGGCCCAAATCCAGGAGCTCCCCCTCTTTTTCGGGCTTCTCGCCTGGGTCCACTTTATGTCCGCCCCCTCACGAGTTTGAGAACCCCTGATCTTCACTTTGGATGTTAAGAGAAGGGTGGGGAAAATGGGGTCCCCCTTCTTTTGATCTTCATGACTTGGATTTGCTACAATTTTCACAATAGGTCAAAGTCCAGAAATCAGGGATCCCCAGAAGTAAAGGATCTTCAGTGAGCTCGTTTTATCGCCAGAGCTCGCAAGGAAATGTACACAACTAACTTAGTCGAAGGCCCCCTTTTGTTGTGCTAGTTGTGAGGCGAACAACCTGTCAATCCACAAAACATTGTGCTGAAGTGGGCGCAGAACTCACAAACGAGGATGGAACCCACGCACGAGGGTGCCCCATGCCTGAAAAATAAAGCAGCCAGCATGTATTTCGTCAGGGATCAATATGCAATATGACTCAATAGTAGCAGGCTTCCCAAAACCAGACGAACTCCAAATTACCCGCTTCGGCTTGCTTGAAGTAGTTTGAAGGGCACCTGGGCTTGAATCAGCATACGGAGCCCCCAAACTGTCTGGTTTTCCCTTTCGTATCTCTTTACCTGCTCGCAAAAAGGGTACCCTCAAAGTAGGACTCCCGAGCGGCTTTCAAATCTAGGTTGCAAGGAACTCTAGCATCGAGGTGCTTACGCATCACCCGGGCCACTGTCCTTTCGCAAAGAAATTCCAATGCCTTCTGCCGCCACAAGTGTTCTTCTTGCGAGGGCCCTTATGGCCACCCCGCTCATCGCAAAGCAAACCAGTTTTGACATAGACGACCTTCTGAGAAAATAGATAGCCCCGGCACATGGCAATCTATCCCCAAAAAGTACACCTATGACCTATGAGTTTTGGAGTTTTGAACCATGCTCGCCACAAATTCACTGTCCCCATCCGACGGACATCGCGAGCTGAGGCTGGCTCCGGCTGGCGCCTCCCTGCACGAGTCGAGTCGGCCGGCCGGCGACTTTGCCCCCAGGAGCTTTAAGTCCGCTTGCCTCCGAAAACCTTTGGAAGGTGGGCTTCAACTCATCTGCAAATCTGCAAATCCCGAGATAGGTCTGTCAGCTCACAAACCTTGGCAAATACCAACACATCTGCTCACAGCTTCCATGCCTTGACCAATGCCACGCTGTGTGGATTCGGACCAAGCGCTTGGTATTTCACGCCCCTATATTGACAAATTCCCTTCTTGCCCTGAGGCCGACTCTAGGACTGCTTGCGCTTCCACCAAAATGGTTGTGTGCTCAATATGCTTGGACCCAATGGACATCCGAAACACATTGAGATTGCAACCTTTCAAACTTCTGCGAGTCGCCAATACAAACCAGGACCCCTCCAGGTTTCATGCTGACCCCACAAAGATCGCCTTCATAACTCCCAGCACTCTGTCCAATTTCAGGGTATACACTTTCCCACCCGAGACTTTAGGGAGAGCCTTTTCAAAAGCACTGCCAGGTACCCCGTTTCTGGTGGCTTTGAAGGGAAACCAAGAGAGGAACACCATATTACTACTATCTTTTGGGGGGTCCCCTAAGAAAGACCCGGCTGAACATTGCCCTGACGTGTTTCGGGTTTGCTTTGAGCGCCCGGCTCGGCATCCCACTCTGCAGTGCCTCAAGAGAGGCATTGCAAATGAAGACTTGCAGCTGGAACAAGTTCCCTACAGGGGATGCCCTACATACGGGAACAAACAACCCTCCCTGCTTTACCGCAATCTACCGTTGTGTGATTGCTTATGCTTGGCGTCCTTGCAACATTTAGGACATCCACAGCGCAGTCCCCTTTTCAACACGCCCCACTTGCTTGTTGCTTGCCCTGAAATAACCACTAAATGTAGCCTCGAGACATACCAGTAAAGAGATGCCTGCCCAAGGCTGTCATCCACCAGGGGTGACAGGAAGCCCCCGTCTTCCCTTCAAGAACCACAATGTTGAAAACCATCGTCTTTCTCGCAGCCCCTGCCCCAAGTTGACTGATTTAATTGATGTTTTGCCAGAGCCGACATCGCCCGTACGCAAAACCTTCAACTGGTTCTACCCACTTGCAAAGCCCTGTAACATCCGTGAAGCCAGTAAAATCCCAGAAGAGTTGACAAACACTGGGGTTCCCCTTGAGCCCATTTGGGACCTCTTTTGGTTTCATCTTTGCGCTCAAAGGGGGCTCCGAACGGATCATGTTCGGCCCTCACATGAACAGTGCCCGAAGCCCATTGACAGTTGGTTCTATCATATTTATATATATATATATATATGTATATACATGTTCATATTTATAGACATCACTCCAATCCCAGTTCATCCACGTGCCCCCTAATGAACTTGACCAGCGGGGGCTTTGGGCTTCTCATAGGTGAAATCAAAGCTTTCACCACCAAATCTGCAGACTATACTCCTTATGGGTCGATTGAGAAGTTAAGCCCTAAATCCGGCATAGGTGTGCTATACTTCTGTGAATTGGAGTTCAGTCCAGAAAATCCTCGCTTGAACGCACACCACACTAGCTTTTGCTTCAAGGTCCCCCACATTGGATTTTGGTGAGCCCCCCATATCCTACTGATTTTTTGGCGAGAACCCGTCGTGTTCACTGTTGCTCATGTGGGTGTGTCTCAAAAACGGGGAGCCCCCAAAATGGTTGGGTGCCTTTTGGCTTCCAGCATACCCAGGCTCCCAAAAACGACGAGCCCCTGGGGCCCGAGCCAGAGCTCTGCAACTTCCTGAACGGAAAAGCTCAGTTGTTCAGTGACCCTGGGAAAAAAGGGAACCCTTTTTGGGGCAGACCATTTTTAGTGGGGAACTCACCCCAAAAAAAAGGAAAAAGGGTGCCACTGAACAACTGAGAAAGGGAACCAGTGACCTTGGAGCTGGCTGCGGGTCACACTTGCTGGTGCGAAATCGGTACAGTAGGGAATGAGGGAATGAACCCAGGGGTCCCCTTGAGGAAATCACAAGGGATGGCTTATCAGGGTCATTCCCTCATTCCCTGCTGAGCACCAGCAAGCAAACTTGGGTACCCAAAAAGCCCTGGACAATGGAAACAAGGACTGACACCTGCGGCCAGCTGGCAGAAAAAAGAAGCAGAGGGCTTGACGAGTTCTTGCGACCCAAACAAAACGGGGGACTTCAAGGGTGCCACATGTGTATGTGGCGGAAAGCAGATTGCCCAGATCCAAATGGCCCTGGCTCCACTTTTGGGAGAACCGGCCGGTGCTCCAGAGAGCAACGAGGGCTCCACCATTCAGGCTGCTCCCAATCCTTTGGCCCATCGTTCTTTTGGGAAACGTCAAACAGGCCTCCTACCTTCTCCGCTTCAACATCCATATGTCCCACGTATTTCCCGTCAGAGCCCCTTCAGTTCAAAGGGAAGGCCTGACAGGGGCAGGGCTCCCCATATCCAATCTGGAAATCATCACGCTAGGAAACTTCAAGTTGCGACAAGGGGCTGCAGTGGCTCTCCTCTTTTTACTTTATTTGCACAGGGACAGCCAGCAAAACGATGGTTGAGGCACGACCCTTTGTCGACCTGTCACTGTGTTGACAGTCGGCATGACGAAAATGCGGAGGGAACCAAACCCCGGATGGTCCCCCAAAGCACTTTTTAGTTTCATCCCTGGCACCCAAAAAAAGTTAACCATTTGGAAGATCCATGATTTTTGGCACGTTTCCCAATCTGCTGGTGGGAAACACACACACACACACAAGTTCCCAAACAGACAGAGGCTAAAGACCGACCAAAAAGCAGCCAGGTGCAACGACCTGACTGGGCCAAACTTACCATTCCTCTCCCTGGTAGCAAGCCTGGGTTTGCCACCGGAGGCTAGCCACTCTACGTAGAGCGATCGCATCTGGTTGACCCGGTCCTGGGCGTGGCAATGGGTGCGTCGCCCTGCCATCTGCGAAGCATCACGTGCGCCCCCCCCCCAAAACAAAACACAAAAAGAACGATGGTTTTCATGTTGGTTTCCCTCTAAGCCAACCCAAAAGGGGTATCCTCAAAAACACAAGCCAACGTTCTACAACTATGCTTCTCTGTGCAAAGGTGCTAAGCTTCATGGCACCTGTGGGAGGGTACCCGAAGATGACTTTCCTCTTGGGGGTGGGTACCCTGTGTCAGCTGCCATGTTAGTGGGAGGGAGGGTAGGACCCAAGTTGATTTGTCCAGCAGCAGTCAACACATGAACATGAACTGCGGCGACGGTCAACAGATATGCGGTTGCCGGTTGCCCTCGGAAAATGGGGTTTGTCCCCCGCGTCGCTTTGGAGCGGGCTACTAGTCCCCTGTATGTACATGACAATGGGGTTTGCCCCCCTGGTTTTGGTTAAACATTAGCGGCCCTCCCATGTCCCGAATCCCCAATGAATCATAGACGGCTGAACCCTCACATTCCAGTCCTGCACTTTTCTCTGCTGGTCCGACAAATGCTGCTCCATGGTGTCGTAGCACTCATCCATCACCTGAAGGAGCGGTTTTGGAGCAACCCCATGGTTTCCTTTTGGCTTCTCGAAGCAACCGAGGAAATGCACTAGCTGCCAGCATTGCTACGGCGTCAGGTAGACTGCAGGGTGATAGGGCATGACGTTGTCTCACTCCCTCATCTGTAAACTACTGGGGATGGATCAGCGTCCCACCAAAAGGTCCAACTGCAGGGGTTGCCTAGAAGGGGATAAAGGGACATCCATAGATGAGGGTTTCTGCACTTGTAGGGGTCCATTTAGTTCTTGGTGAAAAAACAAGTCAAAAGGCAAACCACGCAGCCTTGGAGGGCCAATGGGGTGTATCTGGGACAATAACGGGCACCCCCAACGCTGGTTGGCATCCTATTAGTTTCACTTTGCAGCCACGAGTCCTTACTTTAGTTTTCCAGTTGGAAACCAACGTGAAACCAATTTGTGGGCTCCATGTCCATTTATGATGGTATGACTCTTAATTGTGTGAACCTTTTGGTGGACAAAGGATTTCTCTGACAGTCAACCATTTTTAGGTTCAAGATTCCATTAAATCCCATCTCATGGCAAATTGTTTGACAACCAGGAGGACCATATCCAACTGCTTGGCTTCGCGCACGGCCATGTGAGCGCCCAAATCCGCTGACTTTTGGCTCTGTCAGCATGCTAAAAGAACCAACTAACATGGCCATTGGGCGCTCAGAATCTGTGCTTCCCAGATCCTGATTGGTTCGGGCTGCACCCATCACTCCACAACGGCGGGTCCTTCTTACGTAGGTAACTGGCAAACCGTGCACACCTGAATCTCTGTGGCTCTGTTTCCAAGTGGGTATGTCTTTTTGAGGGCACCCCATGTTTCATATCTTTGAAACTGAAAGGACAACCGCGGGAGCAACGGAAAAGGACGCCCATAGCTGCAAGCGCGTCTCCCGTGTGGCGTCTTTTTTTCCCGACCCCCCCCCAAAAAAAATAAATAAATAAAAATGAAACGAGAAAAAAAAAAGCGGGACTCCCGTGTCTATCAGCTGACCCTGGAACTCCATGGAACTCCCGTGTCTATCTTCACCTCTCTTCAGGTAGGTGTGCCGGCCATGGATCAAGAATCAAGAATCAAGCTGCGTGACGTCCCACTTCGACATCGAAACCCCAAGAGAAGCCGCTCCGCCTGGTGGATCACCTTCCGTGCCTTGCTGAGCTTCAGCTCGTTCTTCTCCGCGCTCTCCTCCTGGCGCCCGGGTGGGAGGCCCCGAAATGCGGGGTGCCTTGGGTTGCCCACGAAAACCAGCCTCAATCGGCCAAACGGCCGTTTGTGAGGAACCACAAACACAGGTTGGTGGAGAAAAAAATAGCTTTTCAAAAAAAAGGAGGGGTGGGGTGGGGGGTTCTGGGAGGTGACATAGGGAGCGAAAAGGGGGTTGGAGGAGACACAACTCTTCGGGTTTTCCTTCTATCCCATTTGACTGATGGAAAACTCCGACGCCAAAGAAACGGATGGATTGTTATATTCAAGAGACGTGCTAATATATGGGTAAAAACTGGTATGGTGGGCTGTGGCAGCAAACGGTGGGGGCGATGGGGACGACGAGGCGATGACGAAGGAGCGACAACAGAGTGACGGCGGGGCGACGCCGGGGTGGCAGCGGGGCGTGCCATCTAGTTTGGCCAATCTAGACCTTCAATGGCCGAACTAGACCTTAAACAATGTTCGCATATTTTCGCTCCGTCGTCGCCCTGTCGGCGCCCCATCACGGTCATACCCCGCCCGTCGCTAAATCTCTGTTTTACTAGAGAATGCCTTCACATGTCTCTTGGAAATAGAGAACATACTAAGACATTTGGCCCCTAGAAAAGGGACGCGGAGATTGATCAGCTGGAGCCTCGGGGCGGGGCAAGAAACGTGGCGAAACCAAAAGCCTGGCTTTTGGGTACAGAGACAAAAGTATCTCTGAGAATCCGAATCCCCAACATATTCCATTTCAAACTGTCCAAAATAAATCAACCCCCAAAAGAGGACAATGGCTTTTCGGGACCTCAATGGCTAGGGGGCCAAAGGCTTGAACTCAACTGTAGCCCGCAGGACTAGAATTAATGACTCCAGGACTCCAGGCCTTCAGCAAAGCAAAGGCCGTCTGCACCATAACCCCCGTCACCAGATTCAGGATCCCTGGCAGGAAGCCATCGCCAGCTACCGCTACATGTCCCTTTGGACCACTTTCACGCGAGATTGGCCCTCGGGTGGGTTCCAAGTTGGTGAGACGGATGACAATACTGCACTAACGTCAGAGAAAGAAACGGGCCACAACGGGCCCTCAGTGAGACTTTCATGAGATCGCAATTTTCCTGATAGGTCGCTGTGTTTTATCCAGAAGAGTGGGCCGCTAAAACCTCACGCTTGCATATTTCGTGTTGCTTTAAGTTTTCGTTGCATGGATAGTCAGGCTGTGACAAGTTCCGTTGGACCCAGTCCCACAACTCTGGATCCACATCGGAAAGCCAAAGGTCCGCCGATGCTACACCACATGTCACATTTACCGTCGCCTGGTAGCGATTCCCAGAAGAAAGGTCACCCGGACTGCCAACTAGAAACATTGACTGCAGGTCCCTGGAAGGTCATTGCCCTGAAAAAGATCTTCCTGTGGGTTCCATATCAGGAAGGGTTTTCTCAGACCGTGTTCATGGTCTTTTTCTCCTGCCTAAGCTGCAGATTGCCAAGAACATGATGGTAAAGGCCGGCATCACGGTCCTGGGTGTGGGGGTTTAATTCAAAATAACAATCCCTTTGGCTGAGATTTCCTCACAAAGACTACCATTTATCACCAAGCGACTCCAGAGAAGGATAGGCTGCCACCTCGTCCACGTGTTTGGCCCACCCGCTGAGAGTAGCCATGGTGAAGAGAGTGATCATGCAGTCAGGGATGCGGCCCCACTTCTCCTGAAACATTTTGTCTAAGGTACTTGACCCATGGACTTACCCCAACAGGCGCCTTCCAGTGCCAGTGTTCATACTCCAAAACAACAGCATATATATCTAGCTTCCAGGTAGGGTATGCTCATTTGTGGGTATCTAGGGATTTTAAATGATTGGACCGCGCCTTTGGAAGGTTTGGAATTCTAAAACAGGGGCCAAACACCATCCACCATCCTTACGAGACACAATCAAGCACATCTATATATGGGAGAGAGAGAGAGAGAGTTGCAAGATCAGAAAGTAGTTTTTATGTGTGACACCAATAGAACACATTATATATGTTATGTATGATATATATATATATGTATAATGTATATTTCAATATATATATATATATATAAAGCTCGACACTCAGCTCAGTCTCCTGGATGTTAGCATCCTCCTGGGTTTCCTCGTTCTGCCCCACGAAGTCCACCATCAACACCGCGGAGGCGTAGATGAAGATCGTCATGATGCACACCTGCGCTGGGTCCCACTGGCCGGTGCGAAATCGGGCAGGGAATGAGCGAATGAACCCGTGGGTTCCCTTAAGGCAAGCCATCCACAGGGGTGGATGCAACCAAACACTTGCTTCTGCTCAGTAGGGAATGTGGGAATGAACCGGAAGGAGATTCCCTTGAAGGAAACCACCAGTTGGATGGTTTATAGGGGTCATTCCCTCATTCCCCGCTGAGCACCAGCAAGGCAACATGGAGCCACGTGGCAGTTTCGATCTAAAACAAACGGGGAAGCTCGATTTGAAGTTCTCAATCCATGCGTTCCAGAGAACTTGCCAGGTCAAGGATTCGGTTCTGCTTTTTAGGGTATAGGTCTAGGGCTTTGTAAGAAATGGTTGGAGTCCTCTTGGCTTCCTATGGTCAGGAAGCTGCGGATCCGAAAGGCTGGTCCAACTGCACTTGCAAGGCGATATCGGACTGGCAGGTGGGCAGATCCGGTGGAGGTCCAGCAAATTTTGGCCGGGTCCCAAAACCACCAAACAACTGGAGGGTGGCAACTGGGCAAATGGGCGCAACGACTTCTGGCCAAAGGACACGGGGACAATAAATAGGCCCCCTGCATCACTGGCAACTTGAGTTGTCCCACATGTTCTATAGTACATATATTGTCAAATGGTCACAATATGTCTTGTTGAGGGTACTTATTTTGGGCTGCTTTAGTCAGAAGCCAAAAGAAAACCCGACCCTGGGGGCCGCAGGGGGATTGCATCTAGAGACAGCCCGGGTGGCTAAAGCGAGTTGAAGTAGAACAAATGCGGCCGCTGAAGAGCGTCCAACTAGTTTTCACATTCCCACCTGATTGGCCAGACTTCTGGGAGGGTTGGATGCTGTTGGAAGTCAAAAGGAAGGGGTTCCCTTGGTGTTGAGTGAGTTTCCCCATACAAAAGTCCCTTCACAAAAGAAGGAGTGGATGTTTCCTCTTGCCCCTCAGTCTTTCGGAGCCCCAAGGAACTGTTGCAGGTTCCAAACGTTTCTCTTGGAAATCCGCTCCGCGCCAATTGAGATGGATGAACCCCTATGAATACTGGAAAATAATCCCAACTGGTGCAGGAATTGCAAATGTGTCCACCCAAATGGTGGCTTTCCAGTTAATTTCCCACTACATCAACATCAATAAAGTACCCTCAACAAAAGCACATGCCTATATTTTGTCCATCCACAGTAGCAACAAGCAAGTCTCTTCTCATCGAGCTGCCGAGCGGAAGATGAGCTGGAAGTTCCCCACGAAGCCCCGAACCATGCGGCCCAGGTCCTAACCGGCCACGTGGAACCCTGCTAGAGCAAAATAATATAGCTGGCCTCCAGTCAGCTTCCATTGTTGGGTGGGTGAATGCCCTTTCGCTACACTTTTGGTCTTTTCCAGGAAATGATTCAGCTGCCGTCATGTACCCAGGTTGAGGTGAGCGGCCTCACCTGGTTCTTTCTATGTCCCCTTTTTCCATCACCCCCACAGACCTCAATTCAGAGGGCCTAAAGGCGATATTGAAATCAGCCTAGGGAGACAGGAGGAAGCCAGGAACCCTTCTCTGGGTCGATTTTTGGTGAGCCCGCCCAAAATGGCAACGGGTGGCACCTGAACTCTCTAACTGCGGAACCCGTGGCTCCTTGATGAGGTGCAGCAGTCGCACCAGGCGAATCAGGCGGCAAAGGCCCACCAGCCGCAAGGCCGGCGGGTTCTCCCCGGCGGCTACGAAACCTCGGGACTCGAACATGGCACCTGCAGTCTCCTTCCGACCCTGGACACCATGCATGCTTCAAGGGTCAGATTGAGACTCAAGGTAAAATGAGCTGGGAACACTATGGACTCACACTAGGGGCTTCATGTTCACCAACCACTGAGGGGAATCCCCATTAAAATTCGTAGCCATCTGGAGGCTTGTCAGCAAGTCGGGCCACTTAAGGGCAAGTTTTCGGACCCCTTTGCGGGACTCGTCATCCCCTCTGATTCAGAGTTGACAGCTGAGACACGCAAGATGAAGGAGTCCACCAGAGAGACTAGCACCATGACCACGTCGAAGATGAACATCTTATCCAGCAGAAGCCTGCTGGAGTATGAGATGACCTCCAGGCTTTGCGAGAAGGTCATGGTGAGTGCAAACTTTGGCACCACACCTCAGCTGCGTTCGAAAGGGATCGCCTGGCATGTCTGTTGCTCCTTTTCGGGAACCAGGCAACAAAAACAAGCAGGGGTCCTCATGAATTTGAGGCTCCAAAATCACTCGGTTTGAGACCCCTAAAAAAATTCGGGTGTGGTACAGGGGCCCGGGCTCTGCATACCAAGCCCCGATCAGACCCTTAGGGCCTTAGGTTAGGCCAAATGATGTTGATCGCTTGACTTTGGGGCACCAAACGAGACAAGGTTGATGGTTGTCCCGCTTGCAAACCGAACCCTCCTCAACAAGAAAAACAACTAAAACCGCTTGGGAAGAAAACAAAAAAAAGCTGGACTCAGATCCAAGGCACACAAGACCAGCTCGTGCTCGCCCTGCACCTCAGGCACGGTTAAACCGACTTGCTTCAAGACATGGGCAGATCAGGGTTCGCCCCGTGGCATTTCGCACCATTCAAACTTCGAGCTCCTTCCCCCATGTCCCGAACCCCATGCCAAATATACCATGAACTGGTCATGTTGCACACCGGCCTCAATTTGGTACTTAAAGATGGCCCGCAAGAAGAGCTCCGCCGTGAAGGTGGTGATGAAAATGGTCTCCAGTGTAAACCATGCCATGGCCTTGGTAAAACGATCCAGTTGAGGGATTCAATCTGCATAACCGTGGGGTGAAGCACCTATTTTCCACAAATCCTTTGTTGGTGAATTACCGAATTATACATTAGCCTTGAAACATGGACAAAGTATGGTTGTTTTAAAATACATTTGACCAAGCGTGGGGGGAGGTACCCACCCCTTCGTTTTCCGTCTTGGTTTCCTGGTTACGAACCCACTTTGCAACGGCTGGCAGTACCCCAAAAGAGGGGAGCGGGGTCTCAGCGAAGCGAGACTTTGGCTTGCCGTTTTGTTGGTCTGTCCCTCACCCAAGGCACCGGGGGCCGACCAAAACACCGTGGCGGTCATTTCATAAACACGAGGGGTCGCCATGTGTCATGCCATTTGTTGGCATGACTCAGCAAGGGATCCCGGAAATCTGAGCTATGGCCCTGCATAAGACATGCGCTGGCTGACGAGGTCTCTGGTACGGCGCAGACCCTTTGGCCACTGACCCCAGGCCACCACTCAAATGTCCTTTTGGTCAAACATACTGGCAAATGACTATCGGACCAAGCTGACACCAGGTTGATTCGATCTATTTGTCATTCCTCCAACTCGACATCAACAACGACGAGAACTCCGGCCCTGCAGGGTTCCCTATATGTCCCCTCTCTATATCAGCCTGAAACCATGGAACTGCAGCTTGTGTTTAACGCCACCAAAAGGGAGCCTGCTCCTCTGTGACTTTCCTACTGTGGATTGAACCAAATTTGGCATCAGTTGCGATTCGGATCGATGAGACCCTATCAACATTGGGATGAATAATCAATCAACTGGTGCGGTGGGGTGGAAACGTGTCCACCATGCCTGCCTTCTCCATTCAGTCCAGCAGCCTTAATTTACTGTGGATGCCCTAAATATTGCAAGATATTGCAAGTGTCATCTCTTGGATCATAGGTGCCCTGTTGGTGAAATCGATGGGCATGCCTTGTAAAGACAATCTAAACCAGTGAAACCTACTTGCTTTTCAAAAACAAACACAAGTCATTATAACCCAGCGGCACCTAAAACACATACAAACACAACAACTATAAACCAGTGGAACCCTAAGGCCCCCGAATTCATGTGGGTTGAAAAAAACCCCGTGGACAACCCTTGTATCCTTATGCCTCAGTATCGGTCAGTATCGGTTTTTTTTCCTCTGCATCGGTTTGCAGTGTTTTGGCAGCTCTGGCTCGAAAGCCGCGACTTTTCCGTACAAGTGTAGTAGGCGAAGTACACTCTGCCAGCTCCCAGCCCCAGCTGGAAATCGCAACTTTCAGTACAAGTGTAGTACACAAAGTACATTTTGGCAGCTCCAGCTGGAAAGTAGCAACTTTTCAGTAGTATGCGCAGGACACTTTGGCAGCTCCGGCTCGAAAGTCGCAGCTTTTCAGTGCAAGCAAGTGTAGTATGGTGTAGTATACGAAGTACATTTTGGCAGCTCCACAGCGGCAGTCGCAACTTTTCAGTACAAATGTAGTACACAAAGTACATGTTGGCAGCTCCAGAGAAGGCTGCAGGGCAGCTGGTTGGATTCGGCATGGCGGCCAATGAGTTGGGTATCGGTTGGGTATCGGTTTGGGTATCGGTTTGGGCCCTGCAAATTTATGATTCCGCAATCTTGGTTTGCGACAACAACTAGGACCTGATGTGTGTCTTCATGGCTTCTGGGGGTATCGGTTTTTTTTCCTCTGTATCGGTTTACAATGGTTTTGGCCTGCGAAACAAGTTAAGGGACGGCCCCTTACATAACGAAAAGGCGCGGGGTATTTTTTTCAGCCCATGTGACCGAACCCGAGCCAAGGCATCCGAAGGGCGGCGCTGGCGAAGGAGCTGCTCTCGAGGTCCGTGAGCCGCTCCGGCTTCAGCACCGCGTCGGTGCCCAGCTTCACCGCGTTCAGCAGCTCGGCGGCGAGGGGACATCCCCCGCCGTTTTTCGGGCGGGCGGAGTGTTTTTGGGAGGACGGGACGAGGGGACGAGGGGACGAAGAGCCCAAATTGGGAGGCCTGGCCTCGATCGCAACTTCTTACCTCAAGCTCGGAAGTATCCTGAGAAAGAAAATGTGTGAAGTCGGAATCCGAGACTCTGTTTCACAGCCTTTTCACGTGGAACCCGGTCCCCAAAAAATGAAAAAAATCGTCTTAAACCAGGACCGGGACCCGAACGTCAGGTTCCATGATTGGTGGCAGGGTAAACCCAAGGAGCGAACACTTGTGAAAAGCGTTCCGGGTGGCAGAAACAGGGGCGGGTGTGTCCCTTGAACCACTTGGGGGTGAGTTTGATGGGAGTAGAATAACGGGGCCAGCCGGATTTGGTGGGCTTAGGAGGATGCATGGGCACTTAAATAAAGCGGTGTTTTCTACTAAACCTCGAAGTTTCTTGAGGTTTTGGGGGTTCTGCAGGTTTGGAGACGTTTTGCGCGATTTGCCCAATGCAAATCGGAGTCCCCCCCCCAAAAAAAAACAACAACAACAAAAAACACGCAAAATTCCATCGACTTTGATAGTTTGATCCTCATCTCCTTGTTGAAGCCCTACGAGAAAACACATGGCCTCACCCCACTGCTGCAGTGCCAAAGCCCAATGGAGAGCGAGCTCTCAAGACCAAAGGCCCGGGACCCGATGAATTAGGGCTGCTGGTCTGCTGGGGCAACCGCCAGCACGCTGGCAAAGAACATGTCGAAGCTGGTCTGGCTCTTCTCGATCACCCGCTGCTCCTTTGGCTCTGGAAAGGGGTCATAACCATTCACCGCTGGATCAAACTTGTTTCATACTCTGGGGAAATTTTACCTTAGGAAAGGGGCAACCCCCTTCAACATGGCCATTGCCATGGATCCTTCCAAGAGGAATATCAGGGAAAATCTAAATTCTTGGCCAGGTCGCCCATGTTTACCCGGCTGAATCAAGACACACCAAAAGGAACCACAAAGGGCTGCCCGAAAGGCCCCCTGGATGCCCTGGCGTCGACCGTCGTTCTGCGCCTTGAGCCCCAAACCCAAACAGGTCACCATGCCAAGCCCCACGGAACAAGCTCGAGTGGGCCATACTTGCAATCTGGTTGAATTGCGCCCGCAAACACCGACCGACCAAAGACCTCGCAATAGAAGCTGATCGTCTTGCGAGCTTACCGACCTTGAGCTACAAGCTAAGAAGTCCTTTTATGTGTCTTAGAAATCGGAACATCCGCTTCTGGTGTTTCCTTCAACCTAGGTCCTCCAGATTTGAGAGGGTAGAATAAGGGTACCAATTTTTCTTCTGTAGTCTATTTTAGTAGGGGAAACCTCCCAACCAAAAAAAAGGAGAAAAGGGCACTATTGGGGAACCTAGCAACTGATGCCCCATCCCCAGATCGCGGTGCCTGTTCGCGGATGAGCAGCTGCCGGTCCTCCTGAACAAGCTTCAGCCAGGCCAGGGTGGTTCCAACATAGCAGGGCGCGTCCACTTTTGAGGGGGTCGTGTCTTGGTTGCTGTTGACCCCCCTGCAAAAAGTTTCACTTTTTGAGGTTTAGTGGAAAACACCTTTATTTTCCAAAAAGTTACAGTCTAAAGATCCAACCCAATAACAGCGAAGGTGTTAAAGGGAAACCCAAAGAACCGCCCATTTTGCAGGGACCAGCGTTTTCCAGACGGGACATGTACAGTAAAGTGGGTGTTTTGAAGGCAGCCCGCTGGTAGCTGCGTGTTAAAAGGAAAGAGCAGCCTGGTTGCCGACGCTTCCGGTCAAAATCACCCCCTGCAGTCATGAAAAGGCCCAGTTCTGGGTGAGGGGTTCTCTTCCAAATCACCATTGATAGGGTAATGTGGGTCACGTCACTGATTGAATCAGGAGACCCCCTCCCCCCCAAAATATGAGGGGGTTAATAGCTAGGAGACCACTAAAAAATGTGGGGGTTAACTCAAACGCTCACCCAAACCAGTCTCTAACTAAGTACTTGCTTTAGTACTTACTTGATTCGTTCTTGCTTAGTACTTCTGGGAAATACGTTTCTTGTACTGTAGTGAGTATGTGTTTTTTTTGAATTTGGCACCCTTTGATTCGGCAACCAACATTCATGTTGAGGGTCCAAGTAGCGGAAGGTTGACGCTGGTTTCCCTTCAAACAACTTACGACTTACGTGTGTACGCGTCAAACAGGGCGCTTTGGGGATTGCTTTGACAAGGGAACATGAGTCACCCACCATGTAGAGGCGTCCAGTTGGTTTTGACACATACCCAAGTGATCAATGATCAAAGGCGAGACAGGTTTTCTTTTCAGAGAAACAAAGGTGCCGTGTCGGCTTACCCCCGACAAGTCATAGAACTCTCCCCTCAGGGAAGCCTATGGACTGGCATTAAACCACAACGCAAGAACACGGCTTTCTACCTTATTGGGGGGGGGGGGGCCTCAAAATTTGGGGATCCACATCGTTGATGTCCCGTTGGTATTGAATACTGCCAATCACAAGGTGGCTCCCCAAAACGCCACGCCCCGTTGTGTTGGTCGTCGTTCAAAGGCCAAAGCAGCCGGTCCTGGCCAGGCATTTGTGCCTTCGATGAAGTCGCCATCTCCTCTTCAAAGGCCACTTTCGGCATCTCCGCCTGCGGGCGCAAAAGCCAGAACTGGGACACGACAAGCCATTGAGGTGTGCATGTCTTAGGCTACTGTTCCGGGTTGGTTTAGAGGGAACAAGAACAGCCTTGAGACCCCAAGATTTGGCACATGCCCGTTGTGGCTGAAGAATTGTTTCCTATCCCCAGCTGAGAGCCCGGCACGTTCCGGCGTGAACTTCCTCAGCGGAGCTGCCATGGGCACTGGGGCACGTGACAAAGAACGTCTGAAGGCGCCACACAAACCATGGCAACTTGCTCCCCAAAAAGGATATGGGTATGGGTCAAAATTAAAGCACCTGGAACTTGCAGGAGCGCTGGTTCCCGCTTACCAGGGTTTGATTTTGGGTATCTGTTCTTGACCCACAGCCATATGGGAAATCATGAGTCTTTTAGTGCGATAGGTAGAGGGACATTTACAATGAGTCTCCTGATGTTTATTTTGTCTGTGAGATTTAGTCTTTAGTGATCACCCCATACCCTCCCGCATGAACCACAGCGTTACCTTTGACCGAACCTGCAAAGCACCACGGCCAAAACTCCAAACATCTGCGTCGTGGTTTTGGCTCCCTGCTCCCTCTTTTGGTGATCTAAAATCCCGAGGTTGATAGACCATCCTTACGGCCAGCCCAAGTAAAGGGGCTTTCGATGGCGTAGATTGGAATGTGGTTCTTCCCCAGGCTTCATTCAGCTTTGCCTAGGAGCTGCTTGGAGCATGTGCATTCGGGTACAGTGTCAATTGTTGAGGGAAAACCAGGGCTTGGGGCTCCCGTGCTTCGTGACAAGCTTGTGTACATCATAAAGCGGTATAATTGCTTAGTCAGCCCTGCAGCCCCCCAATGCGTTCTACTAGTGGGGACGCGCTGCCACCCGCATCGGTTCTACATCCTCAAGACTACCCTCTAAATGATGGTTCAACCACCGGATCGCGGGCTCACTTGAAGGAACGCAAAGAAATGATCCTGGGTTCCCTGTAGTTCCCTGTAGTTCCCCCCAAAAACAACACAAACAAAGCAAAAACAACAAACAAACATAGGAAACTATGAATGGGCCCTTTGCCGTTGATCATCTGGGAAGGCAACCCGTGAACACCTCCAAAACATCTGGGCAGGGCTCTGCAGGAGGGGGCCCAGAAAGCTGCGGCACTCCATCAGCTGGTCCCCCACAGCGCTGAACATCACGTCCATCTTGGTCATCCGCTCGTAGACCAGCCACAGGCCCCGCATGATGCCTCGCACGAAACGTTGCTTTTTGCTTTGGGGGATTCAAACTGCGAAGATTTCTGGGGGAGGAGGAGATTTGCGCCAGTTGTCAAGACTGCTGTCTTTTTAATAAGTGGGGTTGTCAGAACTGTGGGAGGTTTTGTGCGGGTTGTCAAACCTGTGGAAAGCTTTGCCTGGCACCTTTTGAAGGTGGGCCATCATGAAACCGTCTGAATTTCCGAATTTTGCGAGACGCCAAGGCCCCCTTGGTTAAGCCTCGTGGCGGGAAGTGGACACTTTGCTGACAGAAGAGCACCAAGCAGGGTCTTTCTCTGTCCACGGGACACACATCTAAAGGCAATGAATTCATTACCACTCGGCTTCTTTCTGCGAGCCCCTGCTAAAAGTTTAGCAATTTTAGTGGTTTAATTTGGAAAACCCATTAGTTGGCAAAAAGTTAAAGTCCTAACATCCAAGCAAAATGCACCAAAGATCACCAAAGATCAAAAGGTTCTTCAGAGGTTGTCCTTTTGGGGTCCCTTGGGGCAAGGCCAGGCGAAACAAGCAGCGCATGTTTCATGTAATGGACGGCGTGCCTGATGAAAGGGCAGCGTTTCCAAGCGGGTGGGTTTGCCCGGTTTGCAGGTGTTCACTCACGGAAACGGCAACGAATCCCTTTCCAAAAAGATATTATATTTTGTCACATATGTCATAGTTCCCTCCCCAACCCCCCAAAATACAAATGTCAAACAGTATACTACCCAGGGCTGAAGCGACTCGCAATGGATCTGCCCAGTTGCCAACGATATCGAGCGGGTGCGCTCTGGACTTCATGAACATGAGAGCCTCGACGAACTCGTCAATGGTGATGCCTGGCAGGGCCCCCTTCTGCGTAGTGTGTACAGACGTGTGTACATATATATATATAACATACTCTACATCAGCGGCGATCAATATTCATGGTGCCCCCCCAAGTCACATGGGAATTGGGGTGAGAAACCCCAATAGTCTAAGATAGATTTGATGAGACTCACCCGTGTCATGCCCATTGACTACAGTAAATGATTGCAAATATTTACCACTACCGACATGAATACGCGACAATATTACCACAAACCGCTAGGGGCCCACCTGAAACAAATACTCATAACCTCCAACACCTACATGAGCTACGGACAAAGTCACCCGTTCTTCCCGAGAAGACGTGGGACAATGAGTGAGTTTTTGCCATAGTCTACAGTACCTGCAATTTGGACCAAACTTCATATATAAATAATATATATATATAGATATGCTCTTTTACTACACGTGATATCTACCTATTTATCTATGTTTGGTATTTATGCATCTATTCATGTGCTTATTATTCATGTTCTTGTTTATTTAAAATAATTTAGTTGGCTAGTACCTTTTATTCACAAGACACAAGGAGCCCAGTGTGGGCTTGCCTGCGTTGTCGCCCATGAGATTCTCCACCTCCGTGCACACGGCGTCGATATCCTGGGACGACACCCCGGCGACCTCGAAGAGGCGAGGCAGCACCAGGCGCAGATCCTCCTTCTCTGCGCCTCGATGCGGACCAGATGGATGGGTGCATTCCGGTTGAAGGGACAAAACAGGGCTCAATTTTGGATCGACCAAGCGCAAGCCAGCGACAGGTTGAAACTTTTGAACCATGTACGTAGGATGAGGGCTTGTCCCGAAATGACAGCCCCGCAGGTGTGTCTATTTTTAGGTTACCCTCCGGCCTGTTGGTTGGATTGAAACGGGAATCGAAAGGAAAGCAGCTATAGGGACAAGGACAACACCCTATTGGACTGAAGGCTAGAAACGCCACTTTTGGTTTCCCGGAGAAACTAACCAGTTTACGAGGGCTGCACAATTTGGGAAGGCAAGAATCAGCATGGATGTGTTCCAAGGAATAATTGGCCGTATTCATGGACATGGCCTCCTTTTTGTTTCATGTTCATTGTTTGGGTTGCCGGGTTGCTTGATATTTCCCCCCTCAAGGAGGGCTCCCTGGTTCCACCAATGGAGTTTCAGGGGTCACCTTGCCACATCTTGAAGCGTGGGTAACCACGTGTGGGGGTTGCGAAACTCCCAAACAGGTGAGGACAGCCGCTAAACAACGAAACACACGTTCAATCAAAGTCCAACCATGTAAAATGCAGGCAGCAGTCAGGCAAACAAAGCCAACATCGAAATAGAACATATCACGCCCAACCGCGCTGGCCCGATGAAAAACAAAATTAAAGGACCGGATAACCCCACATGCTATGTTTTTGCCAAGGATGTGAGTTCAAATGTCCACACACATGTACCGTGCGCCCCTTGTATGGATGCGATTACAGAGCAGGTCTAGCGCGCTCTTTTCATCGCAGGCGTTGCTAACCTACTGCAGCCCGAGCCGCTAATCAACAAAACAAAGCAAGTTCGAGACATTCTCGAACTTAGTCCATCTTGTTAGATTATTGGCTGCGCCGCACGTGCATCTCAGGAGGTCATCTTGCAGCTCAGCATCGGAGAAGATCTGGACACTTTCCCAAAGAGAAATAGCACTGTGGTATCCGTTGGACGATGAAGTCAAGCTTTTTCAGTCAGATGTCCATCTCAAGGCTTCTCCGCGGGGAACCTGCAGGGCCTGCCTTCCTGAAAGGTTCCAATGAAGGTGCGCGCTGCGGCTGGAATGTCGACAGAACGCGGACCGCTCCGCCTACATTGTGAATCCATCAGCAGCGCCGAGGGCTTGGCAGGGCAGCCGTGGAGCAGCTTATCCAACTTGGAGCAGCTCATCCACGACTTCGGCAATGGCATCTCCACACCCAGATGCACAGAATGCAGCGCCTGCCACGACTTCGGCAACGGCATCGCCAAAGTGCTGCGCCTGCCACGATTTCGCACGCCCCCCGCCGCGCGCGCTGCGCCTGCCACGATTTCGCACGCCCCCCGCCGCGCGCGCGACAACATCCTGTCCCGTTAGACAGCTGCCGAACGCTGCGCCTGCCACGATTTCGCACGCCCCCCGCCGCGCGCGCGACAACATCCTGTCCTTTTAGACAGCTGCCAAATGCTGCCCCTGCCACACAAACACACACCCAGATGCACAGAATGCTGCGCCTGCCACGACTTCGGCAACGGCATCGCCAAAGTGCTGCGCCTGCCATCCTGTCCAGACAGCTGCCGCCGCTGCGCCTGCCACGATTTCGCTGCGCGCCTGCCACGATTTCGCACGCCCCGCCGCGCGCGCGACAACATCCTGTCCTTTTAGACAGCTGCCAAATGCTGCCCCTGCCACACAAACACACACCCAGATGCACAGAATGCTGCGCCTGCCACGACTTCGGCAACGGCATCGCCAAAGTGCTGCGCCTGCCACGATTTCGCACGCCCCCCGCCGCGCGCGCGCCAACATCCTGTCCCTTTAGACAGCCGCAAATTTCTGCCCCTGCCACACAAACACACACCCAGATGCACAGAATGCTGCGCCTGCCACGACTTCGGCAATGGCATCTCCACACCCAGATGCACAGAATGCAGCGCCTGCCACGACAGGCAACGGCATCGCCAAAGTGCTGCGCCCCACGATTTCGCACGCCCCCCGCCGCGCGCGCGCGACAATCCTGTCCCTCTAGACAGCTTGTGAGAGTAAGAGAGTGTGAGTGAGTGTGAGTGAGTGAGAAGTGAGTGAGTGAAGTGAGGTGAGAGTGTGAGTGAGTGAGTGAGTGAGTGAGTGCGTGTGAGTGAGTGAGTGAGTTGAGAGTGAGTAGTGTGAGTGAAGTGAGTGTAGGTGAGTGTGAGTGAGTGAGTGTGAGTGAGTGTGAGTGAGTGTGAGTGACTGAGTGTGAGTGAGTGAGTGTGAGTGAGCGTGAGTGAGTGAGTGAGTGAGTGAGTGAGTGAGTGAGTGAGTGAGTGAGTGAGTGAGTGAGTGAGTGAGTGAGTGAGTGAGTGAGACAGTGATGAGGAGGGAGGGCGGGAGGAGGAGGAGAAGGAGACGCGGCGCGCGGACGACGAGCGGTAAAAGTAAGAACCCCACACAAAGATGTGGGGAACAAACACACACCCAGATGCACAGAATGCTGCGCCTGCCACGACTTCGGCAACGGCATCGCCAAAGTGCTGCGCCTGCCACGTTTTCGCAACGGGCATGCAAAGTGCTGGCCTGCCCATAGATCGACACGCCCCCGCCGCGGGTTAAGCCGCAAGTGCTGACAATTCTGTACTCCTCTAGCCAGCTGACCGAATGCGACATCTCAATGCCACACATAACACACACCGATGCACAGAATGCGATGCCGCAGACCACGGACTTCGGCTAACGGCTTCGCCTCAAGTGCTGCGCCTGCCACAATTTCGCAACGGCATCGCCAAAGTGCTGCGCCTGCCACGATTTCGCACACCCCCCGCCGCGCGCGCGACAACATCCTGTCCCTCTAGACAGCTGCCGAATGCGACCCCTGCCACACAAACACACACCCAGATGCACAGAATGCTGCGCCTGCCACGACTTCGGCAACGGCATCGCCAAAGTGCTGCGCCTGCCACGATTTCGCAACGGCATCGCCAAAGTGCTGCGCCTGCCACGATTTCGCACGCCCCCCGCCGCGCGCGCGACAACATCCTGTCCCTCTAGTGAGTGTGAGTGAGTGAGTGTGTGAGTGAGTGAGTGAGTGAGCGAGTGAGTGAGTGAGTGAATGAGAGTGAGTGAGTGTGAGTGAGTGTGAGTGAGTGAGTGTGAGTGAGTGTGAGTGAGTGAGTGTGTGTGAGTGTGAGTGAGTGAGTGAGTGAGTGAGTGAGCGAGTGTGAGTGAGTGAGTGTGAGTTGAGTGAGTGTGAGTTGAGTGAGTGAGAGTGAGTGAGTGAGTGAGACGGAGACGAGCGGGAGGAGGAGGAGGAGGAGACGCGGCGCGCGGACGACGAGCGGAAAAAGTAAGAACCCCACACAAAGATGTGGGGAACAAGACCCCTACATGAGCACGTGACCTGGCTGCCAGAACGGCCAACCAGTTCAACGGGTTGATGACATCCCTCGCAAACACAACTCCGATTGTGTCGGCTCACCTTCTGCACGGCTTCCAACCAAAAAAAAGCCTTGGAGTCGCAAAGCTATCTGAGCAGCGCCCAAAGTCAATTCATCAAGGCTAATATCCGCCTTACTCTCGACTCCAGCCAGTAGAGCCATCCACTCAAGTGGCCAAAAGGAAATTTCTGGGGCTCCGGGCTCTTCTTGGTGGCCTCAATGTTCCTCCACTTCCGGTACCGCCGGATGAACGGAAGGCCTGGGCCACCAAGGGAGCCGAAGGGTCCCAAGGATTGGGGCAGAAAATTATCTCATCCCAAAATTCTCTGCAGAGGATCCCCAAATGCCAGCTGTGCTCTTTGGATGTATCCTTTGAACCCAGAACCCTGCTGCGAGCTGCTGAAGAGGTGCTAGATTTTGAAAGGCAGGGTCAGTTGCCGAAGGACGCGTGTAATGGTTGTGGAAATGATTGTCCCCTTTTGGATGAAGCCGGGCCAACATCAAAACGAGCCCATTTTGACAAGGTTTCATGTTGAAACTCCTGCGGGCTATGGAGCCTCATAGTCATAATGATTGTCATGCTCCAAATCTACCCTCCAGGCTAACATGGAAGTTCCCACCACTTTGAAAGACTTGGTCCCCAAGTACAGAGGCCTTATGGTTGCTTGTCCCCAAGAGAGCCTCGAGCCAGGCGAAAGGAGCTTCCCGAAATTCTTGGGGTTATACTGGCGGGTTGCTTTGCAGGAGAACCAACACACAGCGAGCACCAGGGCTTTTTTGTGGAAGGGTTGATTTGAAAGAGAAGCCCCTTACCCCCAAAAGGAGCAACAAGGGCCCCAAGCAACAAAGTGCCATAGGGCACCACCGCCCTTGCTCCGCCCTTGCTCCGGGTCCAAGCGTTTGGGCACTTGGCCCCTCGCAAAAGGTGGCCCTGGTGCCCTTTGAGTTGGGGGGGGAAACCCCTCCACCGAGCCGAGGTGCGGCCGGCTCAATATTTCCGCTTCTCTGATGACTCGTTCTTTTCTTGCTTCCACCCACACCCTTGTACGCATGGCCCCTGACTTTGTTGGGGTGACCTGTCGCATGGAGTCTAAGACTAGGTCCTCCAGTAGAGGCTAGAATAAGGGTACCCTTCTTTCTGTAGTCTATTTTAGTAAGGGAACCCTCCCCAAAAAAGGGTAAAAGGGCACCACTGAGGGACCTAGAAGACATGGATTCCACGATGCCAAAGGTCAAGGGGCAGAATCGCTCGCGGATGGCTCCCACGCAGCGGCCGCAAGGGCCCTTCTTCCGGACCTTCACCACGCCCAGGCCTTTGCCTGCGCAGGAACCCACCGGACAATCGTGTTCCAAAAAAACATCCGCAGAGAGTCAGACAGGTTGCATGTTGGAGGTTGGAGGGGAGGGTAGGGGGGGGGGAGGGTAGGGGGCAGTGGTGGGCCTCAGGGGGAGGGTAGGGGGGAGGGTAGGGGGGAAGGTAGTGGGGAGGGCAGGGGGGGTAGGGGTTGGGGGTAGGGGGGGTAGGGGGGGGGGTAGCTGCCTTTGTACAGTTTCAATAACCAACGGGTTTTCTGCCCAGTGCCTGGTTGTCTGTAATTGATCCCCACTTCCGGGCTCAATCCACGCCATGTGGCCCTCTGGACTTGGTCGAATTTTGGGGGGTGGCCTCTCCCCTGAACGTTGGAAGGGTGAGCTGAAGCGTTTCAACGTGTGCAAGAAGCCACCCATGGCTTTTCAACAGGTTTCAGATGCGCGTTCCTTGTATGTCCGCTTAAGCCATCACCTCACCACAAAGGAAACTCAATTAGCATTGGTCGCAACGGTGAAATTTTGTGCTCACCCCCGGCGACATGCAAGGGCCCCTGCGACGGCTTCAATTGGTCCGGGGTGAACCCACACACACACACACCAATCCAAACCACCTATCAAGGAAAATGGAAAATGCCCAGCTGATTGGAGTCAACTGTGAACCATTCAGACAAACCATCACATGTCGAAAGAGCTGATCTGTTCAATCTACCCAACAAACATCCACCTCTTTGCTTGTCTCACCATCTACCTGTCCACCAATTTGCCCCCTACCCATCTACCCGACCAATCCAGGAATCCATCTATCCACTTATCGACCTGGTCACCGATCAGGAGATTCGCTCAACTCGCTTGGCCCGTCCTTTCAGAGCGTCAAGGTTGGTGTGCCCGGTTTGTATGTCCTGGATGTGCTCCTGCAAGGCCTCCTCGTCCTGCCGTGACTTATGGGTTCCAAAACACTAGGGAACTTTGGTGCTCAAGAGGTTCTGAACACTCAAACAACTATCCCTGAGATGTCCTTTGCGGAAATTCAAGCAGGATTCATACACTCTTGGCTGGTTGATAGAGGGTATTGGGATCCTTCACTGTTGGAGGGGACACCCCCGATTCATCAGGTGGATTCATCCAGGGTTAACATTGCCCCAAAGCGCCCAGATCAATGACCGACACATGTCCAAATTGTTGCTTCAACCAAGATACGAACACTGGACCTCTGAAAGACCACCACTCAAAACCAGGTCCAGGTCCGATTGAAACTTCAGTTGACACCTGCCACCCATCTGGTCGTGTCCCAAAACCAGTGGAATACCCACCAATGGCTTCTGATTGGATTCTGTTGGGTGAACAAAAACACACGTCCCAACTGGTTCCCAAACTCAGGACACATCCAAGCAGTAGGGCGTTTAAACAAACAAAACGTTCCAACCGCATCCACAACTCAGGAAACATTGCTAAAATCGTGGACCCTATGGTTGGCTTGCTTCTGGCTTCCTGTCACCATCCAAACCTGAAAGGTGTCCTCACGACTTTCTGGACACGTCCTTTCCGCTTCCTTGTTGGGAGATGCTAACTTTCCCGACCTGAGAAAGAAAGCTTAACCTTTCCTCCAAAATGGACGAACCTCTACACTGCAAAACAAACAGGTCGCAAGTTGTTCTTCGCGTTGGGCAAGTGCGGGGGAATTGGCTAGTGGGGGGGTCCTAAGATTTGGGGCAAAGGACAACCGAGATGAAATCCACCATTGTGGGGTTCGCCCAACTTTGTGAACCAGTCTCGCTGGTTGTGCAGGGAAAGGCTTGCAAACGCTGTCTTTTACATGCCGAAAAAACCTAGCGTGGACAACCCCAAACAGGGCCACTCCCATTTGACCCTCTCACAAGCAAGTGTAGAATTTGGGCCGGAGGACATCAAACTGACCCGCCAAGGTCCAACCCCAGTGTGGTTGGTTCGGCAACGCCCTGCCATAGCGTGTTTTTCTTTTGTGCGGTTCCCGAAGCGCGTTCCGCGGCCGTCCGCGCGACTCGGCGCCTCCACGTCGTCCATCTCCTCCGCCGTGAGCTCCGCGTCGGGTCCCCGGGCCCAGCCCTGCAGGATGCGGCGGGAGACCAGGTGCGAGCCGTCGGAGCCGTCCTGCCGAAACCATCGGCTGGCCAGGGCCTATGGTCTGAGCTGTCCAAATAAAAATCCCCCGCTAAAAGCTTAACTTTGAGTGGGCTAAATGGAAAACCCCACTAAACACTGAAAGGCTAAAAGGCTAAGGGGATGGCCGGGAGCCACCAAGCTAGTCTATACAATGGACTTAGCGCCCTCATTAGAATGGATGCCTTGGCATTTTTGTTCTGCTGGCCCTCCTGGCGTTTTGCTTTTTCGGCGTCGGTTGGGCCTCTCTAACCCAAAAAGGGGTGGGGAGTGTAACCCAACTACGCAAAGGGCACTAGGGTCCCTCCCGCTTCAAGTGCTGCAGGGGCCTAAACTATTGGAATGGGGTTCTGGTGTACTTTGAACCGAACGTCATGATCATGGAAAACTTCCAAGATATCTCTCCCCTGGCGAAGCAGGTGGGAGTGGGAGTGCCCAAGAAGATGAAACCCGGGGGTCAATCCCCTGCTCCATTTCATCGATGAAGCAACATCCATAGAGGTTTCAGCTAGGTCCTTTTGGCGATTGCAAATAACAAACTGAAACCAGATTGGTTCCACCAATTGTCAACCCAACTGGGTCCAGAAAGAACACCCAATTCTACCCTTGGCGTTTGAGCGCTTCTGTTGTTTTGTTGTCGGAATGGCTCGGAGAAACCCTGGTTGAACAAGGATCCTTACGAAGGCCTAGATCTCCTTGAAGGAAAAAGCAACGCATTAATGATTAGAGCCATACTGAAGCTAGTGGATTGATTCTCTCTCTCTCTCTAAACATATTATTGTATTGCCAAAGAAAATCGGTTTCCTTGACTAATGGCCACCAAAGGGTTAATGTCCTCCCCACAAAGGGCGCCTGGGTTGTCTCACAACCCCCAAATGACAAACGTGTCCTGCTGGCTGTCCTTTAAAATACCAACCAGACAAGAGGGAACCACACCCTATATGTATTGGGCCAAAAACAAAAAGGAACATGGAAGCCAATAAATAGTTTACAAGTAGGGATGCCTTCAAGGCAACCCACAAATGGTTCAGTTGGCGGCCCTTCCAGCTCACTGGACGGCGCGTCAGGCTTCTAGTGGATCAATCAATATGTTAATCCAACTTAATCCACCAACCCCGGATGGTGCCCGGTGGCCATGAAGTGGTCCAACCCCCAAAAGTGACCTAAACGTCCACCAGCTGGATGCCAGCGAATCAACCTCAAAAATATCGTGAAACTAAGAAAGCGGATGAATCAACCTCAACCTGTACAACCCCGGGTATCTTAGAGCTGAAAGCGCATTGTGACATGTTTTTGCTGCCATGGCGACTCAGGGTCGGGGGTCGGGTCCCGGTCGGGGCAACAAATTTTATCCAAAAGGACTCAAACCCAGGGGGTTTTTTCATAGGGCTTTGGGAATGAACCGTGACTCTCAAAGGAAACCCCAGAAAGCTCGTCATTCCCTTGGTCCTTGAGCACCAACAAGCATGGGTTGCAGCCAAAAGGGGATTCCCAAAAAAGCAGAAGCCCAAAACCCAAAGAGGCCATGGGGGTCTCAAAGTCTTTCTTTCATGTTCACCCCTCCCAAAACAGAAAGAACAAAATGAAGAAACTAAGGAAACCCGGCAAAGAAAGGAAAACGGGAGCATTGCCTATGGAGCCACCCACTGGTTTGAACTGGACGTCCGGCCTTGTTCTTGCCCAAGGTTTTCTCTGCATGGAGCACCAGGCCGAAGCGCAGCCGCCGCAAAGCCCGATGCTGGCGCAGCTTCATGATGGTGTTCTCGAACATCTCGTCCTACCCCCCCGGTCTTTTGAGAGAGGAGTGGTGGGCTTTTCTATATATAATATATATGTGATATATGGGTGCAAAATCTGGGCAACAAATACAAAACCGAAACGAGCAAAAACAAGGGATGCTTATGAAAGAAACCTTAAAAACCCACGGTGACGCCGTATTAACTTGTCCCACCAAACGGACCCATTGATATAGGGCTGTGTTTTATGCCATTTTGGGTTTTGACACATACCCATAGGAGACCTGTTGATGGCCACCATCAGATCGAATTGGGGTATCGGCCCTTGAATAAGGAGTTCGAACAAACAGCATAATGGTTTCTACTGATGGCCTAGACATGCACCAACCCAAAAACGTCCAGACAACTATTGCTACTTATGGAGACACCAAAATTTGCCGGGGCGTTGATTCACCTTTCCCCAAAACACCCCAGGGCCACGAGGACGCAACAAATCCCGCACTTGCCAATAGCTTCTTCTTTTTGCGGGTGGATATTTTGCGGTGTCCTCTTGAAAATGGTGCTCTCGGAAATGGAACCTCGAAGGGTAAACAGATTCCAACAGGTGATTAAAATAGAACAAATAATACCCATAAACCCGAATTGCGGGGGAGGGGGGGTGTCCTTTGTTTTTGTTGTTGTGGGGAAGTCAGAAAGATCCAAACTTCACGATGTGTTTGGGTTCACAAAGTTCGGTCAGTCCTGGTTGCCTCGCTCCAAGACCGCCGTCAACAAGACGCCCACGATGAGGTTGATGATGCCCAGCGAGCAGATGGCCATGAACCCAAACATCACCGGCATGAAGAGGTATGCATCGGAGCCTTTGGTCCTGCACCGCTTGGTGCAGCCATGTGGCCAGCCATGTGGCTATGGGTCAAACATGCGTACCCAAAATGGAACAGACTAAAACCTGCGGTCCCATACCCATGTGGACATGAATGCCAAGCAATCTGTTTCTGGTGTCCACCCTTTCAACACCCGGTCCCCTGACATTTCGACACCAACATTTGGGAATGGCCTCAAACGCCCCGATTCCATTCTGCAAAACGGGAAAAACATTGACAAGCTTGTTAAATGTGAACAAATCAATATCGAACAGTATCAAGCTTGACAGGCTTGATAGCAGAAAACAAGCATTGACTCCGTTGGAGAGCTGGGAAGCCTTTCCGGTGCCGGACGTGAGCCGCCTCCGTCGGATGATGTCGGCGCCATTGTAGGTGGCGATTTGTAACAAGGACAGCATGGACTCTGCCACGCCGCCCCAATTCTCTGCCACGGTGGGGTCTTGGTCAATGGCATCCTTTGAGAGCGTGAAGATGAGGATCCCGAAGATATAGCCTGAGCGCAATTGGTTTTGTGTGTTGTTTTTGGAGCTGGTGCCCTTTTGGCAGGTTGGTTTGGACGGATACCAAAAGAAACCGCCTGGCACCGAAACCTGCCCCTGGAAGTGATGGCACTCCTTCCTCCCAGTGCCGACCTTGCAAACATCATTCTCAAGACATGTTGAACCTGGGCCAAGATCCCGGCAAAATACTTGCTGGTGCTCAGTAGGGAATGACCCAGGGTCTTGGGAATGAACCGGAAGGGGATTCCCGAAACAAGGATGCTATAGGGGATTCTCATTCCCAGCCTATCGAGCCAGCAAAAATAGTTGCATCTTGTTTCTGTGCCCAGAATCTCTGGATGGACTCACAACATGGGCGGCTTTAGGTGGGGGGTTCCGAGGGAAGAATTAATTCATCAGACCTTTCACTCTCGCTGGAAGGTGACCAGGCCGCCTGAAGGGCAACGAGCTCCGTAGGATTGGAACAAATCGCGGCCGGAGCATCCGTGGTTGCGAGGTATCCTTGTGATTTCTTGAATGGATCTGGCATATCCCCTTGCTGGTGCAATAATTAGGCGGGGAATGAGACATGGAATGACCCCGAGCAAAAACCATCCCCTATGGTTTCCTTTAAGGGAATCCCCAGGTTCATTCCCTCATTCCCCACTGAGCACCAGCAAGCCTTTCAGCAGGAGACAGCTTGGCAACCAGAAAAAACCGACCCGCAGGGTTTCCAAGGGGCATATGACCACCAGCATGGCAATAGCCCAGAAGAGGACCCGCAACGAGGCGAACATGGAGCTCAGCAGCAGCCAGAGCTGCTGCAGGATCTTCAGCAGCCTACGGCAGCATTCCCGAAATTTGACTGTTGAAAGCATGAGGATTTGAATATGGATTTCCTTGTTCCGTCTTTTCGAGTATTCAGGGCTCAACGAAAGGATCACCAGATTTGTTCAAAGGTTCCACCACCAGTCCAACTCCCAATAAGGAGAAAATCATAGAGGTGTGTGAGGGGTCAAAAAGCCGAAACTAAGCATCTTTGAGGTCCAGGAGTCTGTGGAAATCTCGCATTTGTGCGACTGTGCCAGGGATTTCGTGCCTGAAAAAACTGCCGCTTGCTTCAGTCCTGTTTTGCTTCCGCCCTTCGGCTTCCGGAAGCGAGGCACTCTCCAAAATTCGGATCCAACATCACCTGCTTTAGGAGAGCCCCCCAATTTACAAATAAGCCCTCCCGGATGCGGAAACCTTCCGGGATGTGGTGGGTCACATTGAAAAAGCCAGGCACTCTGACTTTGATAAGCCCCCCAAAAAAAGAACACCACCGCCACCACCACCACCACTAATAACAATAACGATAACGATAACGATAACGACAACGACAACGACAACGACAACAACAACAACAACAACAACAACAACAACAACAACAACAACAACAACAACAACAAGAACAAGAACAAGAACAAGAACAAGAACAAGAACAAGAACAAGAACAAGAACAATAACAAGAACAAGAACAAGAACAAGAACAAGAACAAGAACAAGAACAACAACCAACAACAACCAACAACCAACAACCAACAACAACAACAACAACAACAACAACAACAACAACAACAACAACAACAACACCAACACCAACAATAACAACAACAACAACAACAACAACAACAACAACAACAACAACAACAACAACAACAACAACAACAACAACAACAACAACAACAACAACAAACAACAACAACAACAACAACAACAACAACAAACAAACACAA